AATACTTAATATACTATTTTTGAAAACTACCCAACACCATGATTTATATTGTACTGGATTTATTATTATATTTCGAATCTATCTAACATAAGTATCCTTTCAAATCTTCATAGATTAATTGATTTAAAATGGAGATATGATATCACAATATAATTGTTTTTTAACTTAATACCCTAAGATAAGGTTTGATAATAAAAAAAACCAACGTAAATTATTTTTCTTCTTATTTACTTACATAACTTAGATTATGTTTTTGAATTTAAAACACCAGAGTCGAGGTTTTTTAGTTTCCCATATTAATTTATCATAATGTTATATTATTACATAAAAATCACTTTTAATATGAAAACTTATAAAATTAGCTTCCGCCAATTCTATAATTTTAGATCTGTGACTGCGAAAACATGATGGTTACGTATTGGATATGTCACTACATACGGTGAAAGCAGAGCTTCGTGTTTTACAGTCCCTAGTATCAATATTGACCACTGGTTAGGATCGTAACAATTATTGTATACCATAATATTTTATCGAATCATAATTTATGAAAACATTATTATTGGCTTGCATAAATGTGTGATTGTTTTTAAATGTAAAATATTTTAAATTAACCGATACTAAATATTATGTTTTTAGAGGGACAAATTACCACAAGATATGAAAAACTCAATAAAATTTATACAAAATGGGAAAAGAAAAATTTTCCAGACAAGGAAAAGAAAGCTAATGCATTGAAAATACTGAAGAAGCAAGAAAAGGAAAATAAARGTTCACAAAAAAAAAATAAAAATAATGAAAAGAAGCAATCTCTAAAGCTCAAACTCTAAAGCAAACATTATTGATAAGAAACTAACAGATAAAAATGGAGGTCAAAAGAAAATCAGATAAACTAGATACCCAAATATTAACGAAATATTTATAACTGCTTATACATTTCTAAATGATCTAAGTTGGTTTACAATAATAATTAATTTTTTTGTGTAAAACAAAAATTATTAAAAATCAGTTTAAGATAAATCAGATAAATTTCGGCTTTATTTAAGGTTATACATAACAACCTAATAAAATGTATTAAAATTATTATTATGCATCTATATTTATAATAAACAAATTTATATAATATTTTGGAAAATTCAATTACACGAGAATTTTTTTTTTTATTAAAATTTGGGATTTTCCATAATTTGTTGGATAATATAGGTACACAACTTTTGAGTAATTTTTGTGTCATAAAATTTGTWTATACAGTTTCTCTTTAAAATATAATTTATGGTTGTATATAATATGTACAGATGTATTCAAAAAAAGGCTGGACAAGTAGGTACGCTTTGCTGTACAGTAKTTGTCGAGTATAWATAATATTTGAATTCAATGATTGATCATTGCATAGTGTAAATTTCCATTAAATTTTTCGTTGTTTGTGACAGGTAAAAATTGTGGGGAATCTTCTATTAAAATGTTTTTATGTTGGCAATGAAAAAAACTTTTAAAAATTAAAAATTTCACTATTTCCAATTGAAAGTGTGTTTTGTTGCATATAATTATTTGTTTTTTATTAATTCAAATAATATACAGTTTTACATTAATTGTACATTTGAATTATCTATCTTCTGTAAGCTAGGCTTGTGGCGAAGATAGAGAGTTATAAATTGATACATATTATGCTTAAAAACTAAAACACTATTATTGCGTAATTATACAATACAAAAAGAAATAAATAAAATATAA